TTTTATCAAGTTTATTATCCATGCCAAGGATGAGTTTCTCGAGTTCCTAATTCAAAAGATGAAAAAAGAATCTTAAAATACTAAAATTTGATATAAAAAATTACGTATTGTATTTCAAACATACCTTTAGATCCTGATTGACTTTTTGAGCATCTTCAGCTCTCTGATTTTCATCAGCAATTGCTATAGTAAAATGTAGTTCTTTCATACAAGTATCAAATTCTTCTGTCAATTTATCATATGTTTGCCTAATTTTATTGGCTTCAAAAATTCTTTTAACACCCTCAATCTTTGACGCTTTCTTAGTAAAATTTTTAATATCAGTTAAAACGTTTACAAATTTTTTAAGAGAAAAGTAATATTCTTTTTTATAAAAATATTCCTCATTTTCTTCACTTCTACGCATCATTTTCTCTAGGGCAAATTCGGCATTTTTTACTCGTTCCATCATGATAGTACATTACACTCCACATTCTCATAAATTTTATAAATTTCTTCAACTAAAATTTTCACCGTGCCAAATATAGGAACATATTGACTCACAATATTAAGTATCACAATTTTATCATCAGATAATGCTTCATGTTCCTTTTCAGCTTCATTTGCATATGCAATATTTTCAAATTTATCAACATTTTCAAGAAATTTCAAACTAAAAGTCTCATTTCCGATATCGGTTTTAAGATCACACATTTGATTAATGTCAATAATGCACCATCTTATTGTAACATTATTCAATTCATTTCTTTGTTTACTCTTTGCGCCATACATTGAAATCTCCAAATCAAAACTAGTTTTTGAACTGCTTATTATTTTACTCTGAATAACTTGATTCTTATCAATATTCTCCGAATCGAAGTTGGTAATGAAAATGCATGAATCAGGTAACTCATCTTTTGATATAGTTATTTTATGTGGAAGAGATAAGTTGCCTGACATTGGTTCTTTTCTGATAATTTTAATATCCCTTGTATGTTTGCTAAAATATCCTCTTCCTTTGGCGATCATTATCCAATATACTTTTGCTCCAACGGGAATGCTGCATAATAAAGTATTTGAGTGTTACAGGAAACACATCGGTTTTTTAACTTTATGACTTATCAGACTTAATCCCTGAAAATATCAAATACGTGTATGACCAGTTTTTATTATCACGAGTATATATTAGCAATGAATAAAACTACATGTGTAATTAAGACGACTGGAAACTCGTCATAACATACGTAGTTAATTATATCTTTCAGGGTCTGAGTCAATAAGTTATAAAATTAAAAGTCCGAAATCTGGCTTTCTTTTGGTAGCATTCATTTTATTGTGTTAATAAAAACAGACAAATTAGGGGATACTTAAAGCAGTGCGCAGTCATATGATTGACTTTTTAATGTAAGGTCTAGTGGGAGGTTAGGGTGAGAATAAGTTTTATATAAAATTGCTTCCCGATATTTTTTGAAAATGACCCGAGATAGGTTTAGACACTCGTTTCTTGTATTTCGTCGGTCTAATCCTAGGGTTTGGGGCACAGGAGCACGAGGCATGCCTTTGCCATGTGATATACAGAAATGTATACTAAATCAACATATGAGTTTTTTAGAATGTTACGAACTCGCGAGCTATATGTCAGTCACATTATTTAGAAAGAGCATGCCTAATTTTTTTCCGTGCCCCAACCTTAGCTACCGTAGTGCACTAACCAAAGTACCCCTTTTTGCGTACTCTCCACTCAAAACACCGAATTTTTTTTTTTTAACCGAGGATAATACCCGGGTACATTTGCACGGCGTTTTTCATATTACCGCATATCGATTTCTGCATTACATATATAAGACCGTACGAAGTACCCCAAACTAAATACCCGTCACCGATCAACATACTCACGGGTACTGTACTTTATAAGTTTTTTTGGACCTGTCAGTGCACTACTGAATCCGTGTTGGTCAAAACAAACAAGTTGATTAGCAATATATCACATGATTGCGCCTGCTTTAACTTTAACTGTGCTCCCCAAGTTAAGATCTACCTTTTGGTTTCAGGTTTATGAATCACAGCTCGACACCCGTATTGATTTGCCAAACTAAATCGAATCATCACATCTGATATCCCTTGCATACCATCAATGAATAAATTTCCAAACATTTCAAAATCGTTGTCTTGAAGAGGCTTCATAAATTTAATATTTACATACGTTTGATTTTCTCGTTTGATTTCCGCGGCACCGGTCATGATAATCCGATAATTGTCAGAAATTATATCTTCCACAGTTTTCTGCATATTTTTTGGCAGGACTTTATACAAAGGGACTAAATCTTCACACCTCACTATCTGTAACTGCGAATATAATTTATGCCACTGTTTTTTTCCTTGAGAGTCCAAGTATTTATTTCTTAAATCGTTAAAATTTCGTAACTGCAAATATATATCACAATCCTTTACAATTTTACCGTTAGAATCCATGAAAAAAGAAGTATCCAGTCTTTCATTCAAATTGCTCCACTCTCGTAATTTATCAATAATTTTTGGCTGCAATATATCTTTATCATCCATGTGTTTCATATCCAATGAAAGTTCATCATTCTTAAGTTCATTTTCGCTGATAGAATTATAGCTCCTTGATGCAGTCCAACCAAGTATTATTTTTTGAGGACAAAGATGTCCGAATTTGTCAAAAACTCGTTTCAAACTATTAAATGGAAAATCATTGTCGATTGCTTCATTTACTTCTCTCTTAAGAATTTCTGAAGATTCAATGTTATCTAATTTAATAATCAGTTCGATTTTTTCGGAAACAATAAAGCAAAGAACTTCAGAATTTGGTCGATCATCAAATATAGGATGGAAATTATCAGACAAAAATGGTATGTTATTATCACTAAATTTAATACGATTTTTTAAAGTAAATACTTCTTTTTTGCTAGAAGGTTTTTGCAAATACATATAAGAGTTACTCAGTGAGCGACTTTCAGGTATTCTAGTAAAATTAATCACAACATCGGGCCCACGCCCTATCCTAGTTGGTTTAATGGTTAAACCGTGACGTAAACGTAAATTGTTAACCCAGTCACATAGATGAATTTTTTGCAAACATGAAATCCAATCATTTATGTCACACTTTGTGAATTGTTCCTCCATATTTGGGATATACTCTCTAATAAGAGGATCATTGAATTTTTCGAGAAATTGTCTGGTCTTATCATCATGGAATTTTTCAAGAACTTTACGTAAATTCTGCTTAATCTCATTATTAAGGAGGCGACATGCTGGAATAATTTTGTTAAAAGATATAATGTATCCTTTATTATGTTCGTAAAAATTTTTCATCCAATCCTTTAATTCATGACCAGAAGTAATTTTTTTATTGTCATTTGCATCTGTCATTGTAAAATTATCAAATTTAACTTGATCAAATGCATTAGGTTTCCCCGACATAACTTGATCATAAGCCCAATACACTTGGGCTTTCAGAATTTCAATGTCCTGTAAACGTGAGTTATACGAGTTGTATTCGACCATAAGTGCACCTCCGATTTCAATTCTCTGGGCTATAAATTCACCATAATCTTTAAGCAAACCAAAAAGTACTTTACAATCCGATCCCTGCTCTGCTATACTTAGTGCATCCTCGATTTTTTCAGCAAATTCATCAGTGACTTTAGAACCATATTCAATTTAAAGGAGAGGAATATGTAACTGAATGCTAGAAATTAAATTCATACTCTTTAGCTGGCTACCTTGACTTTTATTCGTATAAATTTTTATGCAAGCTTTTTTTTTAAATTTCATAAACCTGATTTCATTGTCACCTATTAGATCTCTTTTACTAGAGATTAAATTATTTGTATTTTCATGAAGATTTAGCCCTTTACATAAGTTCCAATGGTGTAAAAGTAATTTTTTGTCAGATTCTTGCATTATTAAAGTTTCTGTTTCGGCCTCTATTTCATGACCTGAAATGTCACCATAAAACCGATAATCATCACCCATGGTATCGTATGAAATGACGTTTTCTCTAGTGTCAGTTATTTCATTTACATCTATTGTTTCAAGTATCGTCAAGGCCTTTGAACAATCCGGACGTTTGTCTAAAAATTAATTCAATGAAAAATTACAATATTCATTATTATATAACATAAATAAATCGGTCAATTAAAAAAAATATGCATTGAAGAAAATTATATAACATAAATAAATCGGTCAATTAAAAAAAATATGCATTGAAGAAAATTAATAAAAGTTCCATAATTTATACATTAGGAAAAGAATAATCTTTATAATGCAATTATTGAGATTTAACGAAATTGGAGTAATCTAAACTTAATCGATCGTAATGTAAATTCATACCTGGATCATCGTCCCAACAATTTTGGTACAGCTCATAGTATTTAACAGGAGTCTTAGGAATAACATCTTCTCTCCAACCTTTAATAACTTGTGTGACTACATCACAACGTGGTATATTCACGTAAGGTTGCCTACTACTGGAAATTCTCCAGAGCAAAACACCAAAACTATAAATATTTGACAGTTGATTGATGCTTAACCTTTGAATACAACTTTGAGAATCATTTTTTTGTTCGGCACAGAGCTTTAATTCTCGAGGTTCGATATATGGAACAATCTCATCAATCTCATCATTTGGTTTAAAAAATATAGTAATTGCTCCGAAGTTGGTTAATTTTAAAGTGTTTACATGAATAAATATGTTTTTTGGATTCTATAATTAACAAAAAAATTGAATTTGTAATTAGTATACACTATATATAATGGCATATATTATATTAGCAGATGATCCTGCTAGAATTTACATTAAACCTTTATTCATTTTCATTTGATTTCTGAATTGATATTAGTTAAAATTATAGTACAAAAATACTTACTAAATCTAAATGTACTATTTCCTGACTATGAAGAAAATTAAGCCCACTGGCTAATTGAGTAGCAAATTTTATTCTTTGAGTCCAATCTGGTGTGTGGTTGTTCAAATAACACTCCAAATCTCCCTGATCAGCATATTCTACAAGCAAATAAAATTCATCGTCCGTAGTAGCACCTTCAATAAACAATGACGTAGTTGAAGAAAAAATCAGCGCAATTCAATGCATGAATCGCTTGAACTTCGATTTTATAGAATTAGACGAATTTATAAATGAGCTAAAAATTAGTTCATATTAATACTTACAGTAAAAAGCCTTGAGAATATTCTCATGGTGCTTTAAGCATGAAAAGATTAAATTTTTATATAATATATATATAATTAATTAATTATACAAGCTCTTACCTTAGAAAATAAAATAATATTTATTTCGTTCTCACTAATATCTTCATCATAAAATTCTTCTAGGTCATATTTTATGACTTTTGACTTTGAATCACTTTTCAAGTAGTAGCACGCTCGCTTAACAATAGCGTGCGAATCCCTGGCAGCACGCTTCAATTCTTTATAATTTATGAAATTGTTTTTGGAAGTTTCTAGCCAAGAATGTAATAGCACCATTTCGTTTTTTTTACATTAAGCAATTACAGCAATCCTGGGTTTACGTATATTATTGTTGTATTTAAATTGTCTACGGACTTGAAATCTATTTTAGTGCTCGAAGTACACTTCTCAAAGTTGAAATTTAAGTAATAACGACACAAACTCTAAATGTTATAATGAATGAACATAACTTTAAAGTACAGTAGTATGAAATAATATTTTATGTACAATTTAGGGTTAGAGTTAGAATTATTAATGCGGAGTGATGGTAGATCATGTGATCGAAAAGCGAGGGAACCACACGTGAAGCTACAGTGCCGCCGAACGAAACCGGGATCGCCAATTCGCAAAAGGAAATTGATTGAAGGCAAAAGATCATATGCGAATGATGCAGTGACCTATGTCATCAACGCCCAAACAATCCATAGCCCCACGGCCATATGAAAGATGAATAGGCAATGACACATACGTAAATAGGAAACTAAAAACTCGGTCCCGAGAAACCCGATCAATAATTCGTTCGACCCCACCCAACTACCCAATGGACACCACATGATCCCAACATTCCTCCGCTCGCATTCCTCGTATGTTCTCTGTTCGCAGCCGGCTTGCGTCAGCAAGCGGGAAACCACCGGCTCAGCAAATATAGATCTTTATTTTCAGAGATTAATCAAGCTGGATTTTGATAACAGTGAAAGTCAACGAAAGTGGCTTGAAACGCTGCACTGCAGTGACAAATAGCAACCTATTAGATAATGAATTACAAGCTCGATTGCTTGAAATTTTTAGACAGGAAGTGCTTCGTAATGGTACAAATGAAGTAAAATTTGACAATGGAGATATCAAGAAACCCAAAAGAATAGAAATTAAGAACATTCCCCGAATATGGCTAATAATCAAATATATGCAACAATTTATAACACTAATTGCAATCATGAAGTTTTTTCTATTCATGTAGTATATTATGGTGAATAAAGTTGTTAGGCGAAACCTAGAGGTTTCGCCAAAAAAAAATTCAAAAGACGAAATGGCGAAACTGGCGAAAGGTGGCGAAACTAGTGAATGGTTACGAAACTGGTGAAAGGCAATAATAGTGGCAAAAGAAAACTAATGTAATTGATAATTTTGTTCTCTGAATCTCATCTCCATATTTGTCTCGCAGTAAGATGTTATTTACCTTCTCTCTTTGAATCGCTATAGTTATTATTATGACGCTTTGTAAACTACCTTAAAATTTGAAAAGTTTGACTACTGATAGTGAGTCAATTTAATTTGACTTCATGTATACATATCAAGATAAATTAAAGTAATCAAGATAATTTTGAAATATGTTCTGGTTTAAATTATGATATACTACTGTATCCCAAATCTAATGTCTAACCTATCTTTTCATCTTTTTATTATATCTACTTAATTTCCTTAATTTCACAAATTTGCTGTAATGTATTAATCTTACCTTAGTTATATTAGTTGCTATTATGTATTTTTAGTGGGTTAATACATGCAACCATGTAGACACACAAAATATCATGTATGCATGGTTATATAAATTTGATAGAATAAGTTATTTGTAGACAAATCTATATAAAATAGATTTAGTATTATATACTAGAATTACAATATTAATATATTAAAAATTAGAATGCATGTATCAATCCATATATTTTAAGTTGTTACATGCAGGTATGCATTACAAATAATTATCAAACTATATAATTAATTTAATATTCATTTAATAGATTATATAAAAAATCTTAAATATTTGCTATAAATTTTTTTTGTATGCTATAGAACAAATGCATCTTTTTTAATTTTTTTTTATATTATCTAGTTTATGAAGTGTATTCCACTCAATTATATGTTTATAATCGTAAAATCTAAGTTAAAATCTTTGTGCAACTATCAACCTTCTATATTAGAATCGCAATTAACATAATTATATTATTTTTTCAATTATTAATGATTTATGCTTGATTTCAATGATTCATTTAAATCTGAAAGCTATGTCTTGCATCATCTTAACTAATATTCCTATGACTTTTTTAATGTGTCTACATTTTTCGTATCAATCTTTAATTATTTATTTAAATTACCAAGTGTTTCCTTATATTTGCCTATCTTACAATAAATTGTACCATGACATCTTAATGTGAATACAGTCTTCCTCCTCTATAATCACACAGTTTGTATCAAGAAAATTGGTGATTATAAAAGAGTGTGATTATATAGATTTTTTTAATAAGTTTTTTAATAAATTGTCTCAAAAATTAATGTGATTGTATAGGAGTTATGACTATATAGGAGGTGATTATAGAGGAGGAAGACTGTATATTATCTATAATTAGTTATTTAAGTTTGCAAATGCTTCTTTATGACTATTTATTATACAACAAGTTTCAGTTATTACACTAACAGAATATATATATTCTACTTTTTATTTTTAATAATATGAATTACACTATATTTGATCTATTAAAGTCAATAATATGATAATTATTTCCTAACATTAGAGTTAACTCTAAGATTTAAAATAATGAATCAAAAAATAATTACCAGCAATATTAACAAGCTACTTATATATTTATAGTATCTAAAGTTTTCAACAACAAAATTTTTAAAAAAATAAATTCTTAGCAGATTAACAGCAAATTTTATTTAAGTAATTGAATAAAAAAAATAACTTTTCTATATAAGTAATATACATTAATTTATTTAAATAATTAAATAAATAACTTAAGTTTTTGATATAAATAATATTAATCTATAAATTTCTGCTTCTATAAGAAAATAAGACACTAAATCACAATAAAGACTAGGCTATTCAAAAGAAGGCATGGAGGATTTGGTCCAAGAACCAAGGATCCTACTGCCACTAGGATCCTCAGATTAGGTAGTCTTTTTATGTTTAATTTGCTTATTATCTATCTGCCCATTAGTTATATGAAATCAATGAGCTTTTATATATTATGAATATGATTAAGATCATTATAATAGCTATTTAGAGTATTGGGGATCTATACTAACAATAAACAATTCAACTCATTTACATGACGATAACCTTAGTTCCCACCATGTGAATACCAGCAATACCTTACTATGGAGCATCGCCTCAAGCCAAACCTGAATTAGCATTATAAAATGTGGCTTGAATCATGGTTTCATAACTGCGGCTAGGTCATATTACCCACTACAACATATGTACATATGTATGTACATACATTTCTTTATATATAAATCAAATGCTGTGCTCAATAGCCACACACAATATAATATTCAACATGGCTCTTTGTAACATGAAGTGCTTAATAGCCACACGCAAATATTTCATACACCAAAACATTTCTTTATATGAACCACATGCTGTGCCTAATAGACACACGAAATATTTTCATCCACCAATATGGCACAGTCTTTTCCAAAGTCTTAGTGAATTTAAACTTTGCTGAGAGCTTTGACCTACGCCAGGAGTTTTGTCTTTCGCCAGGGGTTTCGCCTTTCACCAGAGTTTCCCCACTTTCGTCTTTCACCGGGTTTAGGTTTCGTCTTTCGCCATTTGCGCAAAACAGTTTCGCCTAATAACTGTAATTGTATTAATAGAACTTAATTCTTATCAACACCATCGATGCAAATATTATTATTAGAAATAAATTCATCAGCATTAACATAACTAATGAATTTGCTAGTATAAATTGTATTATCTTCAGTGTTATCATTATTAACGTTATAATTTACGATCACCATTTCTTCATCAGATTTTAAGAACTCAGCTAAAATTTCAGGATTATTTTTCCATTTTAAAATAGTTTCATGAATTTCTATAGCTGACGGTCGTTTTTCTGGATCTTCGTCCCAACATTTCTTTAAAAGATTTACGAAACATGATGATGTTCCTTTAATAATTGTTGGTCTCAGACCTTCACAAATTTCTACTGCCAATCTTAAATTATAATCCTTATAGTCAGAAAATACAAATTTTCCCGATGAAATCTCCCACATAATTATTCCAAAAGAATAAATATCTGATGCTTTGGTAAACGTTTTTCCTTGTAAAACTTCCGGTGCTACATACGGCAAAGCTCCATAAATTCCCCCTGATCCTTTGTCTAATGTTTTATTAACCGATGTTGCAAATCCTAAATCTCCAATATAAGCACTATATAAATCATTTTGAAATATATTACCGCTATGTAAATCGCAATGAATAATATTATTCGAATGAATTATTTGAAGGTCTAATGCAATATATGATATCAATTCTAGTTTTTTCTCCCATTTCATTTGCGCAACTTTGTAAAGATTCTGACGTAATGACCCCATTTCAGCATATTGCATAACTAAAATGTATGTATCTGTGCCTTCATCTTTTGATATTCCATGGCATTGCAAAAATGTGGGGTTTTTAATTCCAATTTTTGAATATGCGATCAACTTTAAAATTATATTTATTAAGAAATGAATAATAATATTGTCAAATTAATAAATTTTTATCAATTGCTTACCTCCTTTATGAGTTCCTCACAGCTATTTTTTGATCCATGAAACAATTTGAGTGCAACCAATTGATTTAAGATATCAATTTCGGTTGTGCGTTTCCAATTAGCACAATACACAGTTGCAAATCCACCCTTTCCAATTTTTCTTTTAATTTCTAGTTCATTAAATGGAATCCATGATATTGATAAATTATTGTTTGATAATAATTTTTTTAGAGAATAATCGAGATTTTCAGAATCAACTACTTTTTGAAAATTATTACTTTTTGCTTTTTGTAGCCATTCAATAGCTTTTTTCTGATTAGGCGATGTTCCATAGCCATTTCGATAACATAATCCTACTTTATATTGTCCAGGATAATAACCATTTTCTGCAGATTTTAAATAGAAGTAAAATGCTTTTGTTTCATCCTTAGCCGTGCCTATGCCGTCTTCATAATACAACGCAAGGTTATATTGTGCAGTGGAATTAGCGCCTTCGGCAGATTTCTTTATCCATTCAAACGCCTTGTTTTCATCCTTATC